TATTAAACGCCACCTGACAATATATTTTCTAAAAACTAATACAATATTATCATACAAAGAAAGAGGGTCTGAAAATTATACGTACACAGGGATAAAGATCTTTTCTTCATTAACTTGTTATTCTGTATATATTTTGTAGCGGTGTTATAAAAATGTAACACAAAATATTTCTTCTTAAAGTAATACAATTTAAAGACACTGCAAATTTACAATTTATCTCCCACACTAATCAGATGTTAATATGTCGCCTTTTATTTCATTAACGATTAAAAAATTTTATATACCTGTCCCGATATAACGTGTCTCAGAATGATATAAATTTTATTTTTTCAAAACTTGTATTTATCAGTACATTCCAATTGCAGTTCATATTGTGATCCATTAAAAAATTTTTGGATAAAATCCAAATATATTATCTTTTGATAATGAAGCTTACATTATTCTGAAATATTAAAAAAATATATAGTTCAAAATAAAGCTGTAAAACATTTAATAAACATACTTTTGTGTTTTAATCTTCATCCTCTCCTGATTCAGATTCTTCTTCTGCATTCTGTAACCACTCAATGAATTTTTTCATTTGATCCAAAAACAGCATTTTTCCTTTAACGGAATGGCCCTCGTTGTACCATTTTAAAATTACTTCTTCCGTTAATATATCCGCTAAAATAAAATATATGCGTAGAAAAAATAAGCACAAATAGAAATTAATATACATGAATAATACATGAATATAACATACTTTTATAAAATAGTAAAACAATTTTTTGGAAGACTTTCATGAAGTTCATATTTTCGTAACAAAATTCTTGGATCTTGAGAATAAGTGTGAGTTCAGATTTGAGAGAGATTGAAAACGCATCGAACAGTGGAGTGTATGCTTTTAAGTGTTTCAATGCTTGATCAGCTACCAATTCTTCTTTTTTATTCCATTCAGCTTGACCCATTACTACAGCCCAAATCTGCAAATAATTTTTAACATTTTCATTCAATTCTAATAT